CAATTCTCCTCTCTCAGCCTCCCGAGTAGGTGGAATTACAGGCATGCGCCACCATTCCCAGCTAATTTTGTATTTTTCAGTAAGAGACGGGGTTTTTCCATGTTGGTGGGGCTGGTTTTGAACTCCTGATCTCAGGTGATCTGCCCGCCTCGGGTGGGATTACAGGCATGAGCCACTGTGCCTGGCCAACTCTTTTTAGAATAAAAAAACAAACCTTCCCCCAAAACACCTCAGTTGACCTGCCCTCAAATTACTGGGTAAAACTGGATCACATTCACCCCTAAACAGATGACAAGCAAGAAGAACGGAATTACTACAACTGACTTGATTAATCAAGATTTATCCCTGAGCTCGGGACAGGGTGCTAGGCCTAAAGGCTGAATAATTGAAAAAAACAAAACAACAACAACAACAAAAAACGGGGTGGGGCTAGATGTTGAATAGGTACCTAACAGGTATTAAGAGGACCATTCTGTGTTATGGAATTCTAACCTTTTTTCACTTAATAACATTCATGTTAAAAAAATAACAATATTTTTTCCTGCATTAACTACATTTATTTTTGCCTTCCCAAAAATAAATGTAGTTAATGCAGGAAAAAAATCTGAATCAAGTTTTATGCTTCTGAGAGTGAAAAAAAAACATACAATAACTTTAAAAGAGGATATGTTCTAAAATATCTCTGATTTCCTTTAGTAGTCATTTTCTGAAGACGCTGATAATTTACTTTCTGCAGTGAAAATGTACAAATTACATTTTCTTTGTCCCAAGACTACTTTCAAGTTTCATAAAAATAACCTTAACTTAAAATTGCTAAGCAAATTCTTTCAACCATATCTCTTCTCATTTTCTTGAGTCAGAAGTTCTAAATTTAGGAACCTCATTGTTTATATCTATGGGATAGCTTTGTGATATCAACTTGGCTGGGCTGAAGTACAGTCCCCAGATTTTCCTTTCTAGTGTGTTTCTGGTTAGGGTGAGTTATAAGCAATATTCTCTCCTTAGAGCCGGAAGAGAAAAGGGAGACAGCAGCTATTTTGTAGCCGAACATACCTTTTCCCAGTTATTCAAACACTAACCTAAATGTTGCTGGGAGAGATTTTGCAAACGTAACTAAAGACCCTAATCAGTTAATTTTAAGTTAATAAAAAAGGAGATTATTCTTGGTGAGCCTGTCTTAGTCATTGAGAAGCCCTTTCAAAGAAAGCTTAGGCCCTCTCTGAGCCAAGAGGCTTCAAACAGCAGCTAGACCTGCAATTTTTCTCCTTTCCTTAGGATCTTCCCAGGATACCTATCTGTGGACAAGAAGCTTCAGTCTGTGCCCTTGAGGTTCCATCCCACTATCTTCCCTTCCTGACTGCCTGCCCCTGTGGGCTTTGAGCTTGCTTAACTAGTTCTATAAACTGTATAAGCCAATTTCTTATTATATATCCATGCTGTGTATATATACATACACATTCAATTAAAATCTGACCAGTTCTGCTTCTCTGATTGAACACATGTTGGTTCACACTTGCCTGCAACCGGTACTTCTACAGACCCACTTCTACACTTGTGAGATGTGACAAACTCCACTCAGTGTTTTCTGACTCAATGCAGAAAAATTTTAAATAATAAAAAAATATTTATAAAGTTTTAAATAGAATGGTGGCTCAGTCCTTTTGGGCTGCTATAGCAGAAGATCAGAATGGGTGGACTATAAATGACAAATTATTTTCACAGATCTGGAGGCTGGGAAATCTGAGATCGGGGTGTCAGCATGGCTGGGTTCTGGTGTGGGGCCCTCTTTCTGGGTCACAGGTGACATCTTCTAGCTGGGTCCTCACACGGTAGAAGGGCGACAGTAGCTCTATGGGGCCTCTCTTATAAAGCCACTAATCCCATTTGTGAAAGTTCTGCACTCCTGACCTAAACACCTCCTAAGGCTCCACCTCTGAACACCATCATATCAGAGGTTAGGTTTCAACATATGAATTTTGGGAGGACAAAAACAATCAGACTAGCAAAGATTTTTTTTGTTTGTTTGTTTCCACTATTTTGGAGCAGCATGTAAATTTGCTGCTTTGGGGAACAGACTTCTATAACTATACTCCTTTTCTGTGCTTCAAATAAATTTTCTTTGCTGTGTCACTTGACCCTTGCTTGCACTGGAGTTCATCTTTCCACTCACACTTTTTCCACAAATCTTCCACAATTTCTCTCAGCTAATGAGATTTCAGGTTCTCTACGACCAGCAACAGACTCTAGGAGAAATCCCATTTATTTCCTCACTAGTCATAGACTGATTCTTTTATAAGTTGCTCCTTGTTCATGACACCAAACTGTTCTCTAGACTAAAGGTTAACCCAAACTAGGAACCTTAATACTTATTCTGTATATCCTTTCATTTGGACTCTCCTGAAAAAACAGTCATGGTTGTGTTTAAATCATTAGTTTCAGCACTGATCACAAAAATAAGTTTAAAACAATTAAAAACAATAAGTGAATTTAACAAGTATACCCATAAATTTTGATGTTCTTTAATAATATAAAATAATGTTAAGAGAAAATTTAATGGAATTTTTTAAAGCATGTACAATATATTAAGTTTAAAAAGCAGGTTATAAAAATGGTATGTTGAGATAATATGGTTACATTTTTGTAACTCCACAAATAAATACAGGTATGAAGAAAAAGAACTTGAAGGATAAAAATTCAAACTTAATATTTCTAGGTGGGCAGATTATTGGTGAGTTTTTACTTTCTTCTCCTGGTATCCTCTTTTTAAAAAAATTTATTTTAACTGAGATATAAATGTACACAGTTATGGGATATCATATCAGGGCAACTTTACTGAATTTATCCATTCTAAGAGTTTTTTGGTAGAGTCTTTGTTTTCCTAATATAAGATCATGTTGTCTGCAAATAGGGACAACTTGACTTCTTCCTTTCCAGTCTGAATGCCTTTTACTTCTTTCTGCTGCCTAACTGCTCTGGTTAAGGACTTCCAGTACTGTGTTGAATAACGGTGGCAAAGTAGGCATTCTTGTCTTTTTCCATTTGGTATATTAGCTGTGGTTTTGTCATATATTATCTTTATTATGTTGAGGTACTTTCCTTTTATACCTAATTTATCGAGAACTTTTATCATAAAGGGTTGAATTTTATTAAATGCTTTTTCTCCATCCATTGAGATGATCATATGATTTTTGCCCTTCATTCTACTGATGTGATCTGTGATGTTTACTGATTTGCACATGTTGAACCATTCTTGCATTCCTGAGATAAATCCCACTTGACCATGGTGTATTATTGCTTGGATTTTTGGATTCAGTTTGCTAGTGTTGTTGGATTCAGTTTGCCAGTGTCTTGTTAGGGTTTTCTGTGGCCATGTTCATCAAGAATACTGGCCTGTAGTTTGTTTTTGTTGTGTCTTTGTCTGCTTTTGGTATCAGGGTTATGCTGGTCCCACAGAATGAATTGGGAAGAATTCTCTCCAAGTTTTTGGAATAGTTTGAGAAGAATTGGGATTGGTATTGAGAATTATTGGACCAGTGGTGAGGCCATCTGGTCCTGGGCTTTCTTTATTAGGAGATTTTTTTTTTTTTTTTTAACTGCTGATTCAATTTGCTACCTTTTGGTCTTTTCAGATTTTCTGTTTCTTTTTGATTCAGTCTCGTTAGGTTGTATGTGTTGAGAAGTTTACGCATTTCCTCTAAGTTTTTAAATTTATTGGCATATAGTTGTTCACAGTAGTCTCTAATGATCCTTTATGTCATTTCCCTTTTCGTTTCGAGTTTTACTTATTTGAGTCTTCTCTCTTACTTGCTTAGTCTAATGGTTTGTCAATTTTCTTTTTTTTTTGAGATGAAGTTTTGTTCTTGTTGCCCAGGCTGGAGTGCAATGGCGTGATCTCAGCTTACTGCAACCTCTGCTTGCCTCCTGGGTTCAAGTGATTCTCCCGCCTCAGCCTCTTGAGTAGCTGGGGTTACAGGCACACACCACACCTGGCTAATTTTGTATTTTTAGTAGAGACGGGTTTCTCTATGTTGGTCAGGCTGGTCTTGAACTCCCAACCTCAAGTGATCCACCCACCTCAGCCTCCCAAAGTGCTGGGATAACAGGCATGAGCCACCGTACCCAGCCGGTTTGTCAATTTTATCGTTTCAAAAAACCAACCTTTTGTTGAACTTTGTATTTTTTTAATTTTTAATTTTTGTGGGTACGTAGGTGTATACATTTTGGGTTACATGAGATTTTGGTAAAGGCATGTAATGTGTAATAAGGACATTAGGGTAAATGGGTGCAACCATCACCTCAAGCATTTATCCTCTGTGTTACAAACAATCCAATTATACTCTTTTGACCACCATGGCATGTATGTACCTATGCAACAATCCTGCAGGATGCAGGACGTGCACATGTATCCCAGAGCCTAAATACAATAATAATAATAAAAAAGAAATGTATATTACTTTTTTTTTTTAACTGTAGTCACCCTGTTGTGCTAGCAAATACTAGATCTTATTCACTATATTATTTTGATACCCATTAACCATTCCCACTTCCTCCCCAGCACCACCCCCCCGCCCTGCCCGGACCCTTTTTGTAGGTATTTTTAGTCTCAACTTCATTTCTTTTCATTTTGAATTTTATTATTTATTTCCTTCCACTAATTTTGGGGTTTTGGTTTGTTCTTGCTTTTCTAGTTCTTTAAGATACATCACTAGGTTATTTGAAATCTTTCTCTTTTTTTAATGTAGGATTTATTGTTACATAAATTTGCCTGTTACTATTGCTTTTGCTGTGCCCCATAGGATTAGGCATATTGTATTTCTATTTTGATTTGTCTCAAGAAATATTTTAATTTACCATTTAATTTTTTCCTTCACCCACTGGCCATCTAAGAACATGTTGTTTGATTTTCAGGTGTTTGTAGTTTTGAATGTTCCTCTTGTTATTCATTTCCAGTTTTAAATTCCATTGTGGTCAGATAAGATAGTTTTTTTTTTTTTTTTTAAAATGATTAATAGGTGATTTATTTGAGGTAATACATGTAGTCACCATTGCCAGACTTAAGATGAGAGACTAAATGTTCAATCCAATTTTCCTTCCTGGATAAGTTTTTCTTTCTTATCCCTGTCAGTTTTGAGAATATAATACCACAAGATGAGGGGCCCAAATCCAAACACAGCTCCAATGAGTGAGTTTTTAGGAGTGGCTCTGCAATTAGGATGGATGTTTGCTCTTGCATAGGCCCAACGAACCAAGGCAGGATTTACGACAAGTCCTCGGCGGTTGGGGTCGTTGTACTGAAGCAGGTACTCTCATTTCAGCTGGGCTCTAATGGCCAACCGCTCGACTTGCGCCTGCCGAGTTTCCCGAGATATGTCATATTCAGCTGGGTCGAGGGTCTGGGGCAGAGTGGCCAGGTGCGACGGTTTATACTTTGGAAACGACATATTGGTGACCCCAAGATAGCTGATAAATTTTTTTTTGAGATTTGTTTTGTGTCCTAACATATGATCAATCCTGAAGAATGCTTCATGTGTTGCTTTTTACAGCTTTTGACTTGATGTCTCTTTGGTCTGATATAAGTACAGCTACTCTGGCTGGCTTTTGCTTTCCATTTGCATGAAGTATCTTTTTCTATCCCTTTGCTATCAGTCTGTGTGTCTTTACAGGTGAGGTGAGTTTCTTGTATGCAGTATATAGTTGGGTGCATTAACCTTTCGGCCAGTCTGTATCTTTTAAATGGGGGAACTGAATCTATTTACATTCAAGGTTATTGATAGGTGAATACTTGCTTCTGTCATATGGTTTCCTGGATGTTTTATCTTTTGTTCTGTAATTCCTTTCTTATGGTTTGTGCTTGGGTGGTTTTCCACATTCATATGTTTTGATTCCTTTCTTTTCTTTGTGTTTGGGCTCTATCAGTGAATTTAATAGTTTCACATGTTTTCATGACAGTGGTTATTATTTTTTCATTTCCAGATATAAGACTCCCTTGAGCATTTTCTTATAAGGCCAGTCTAGCAGTGATGAATTCCCTTTATTTCTGCTTGTGTGTGAAAGATTTTACTTCTTTTTCATTTCTAAAATGTAGCTTTGCAGGGTATAGTATTCTTGGCTCATGGGTCCCCCGCCTGTGCTTTAAGTATTTTGAATATATCATCCCATTCTTTCCCAACCTGTAAATTTTCTGCTGAGAAATCTGCTGTTAGTCTAATGGGAATTCCCTTATATGTAACTTCATACTTTTCTCTTGTTGCTTTTAGAATGACTTTCCTTTACCATCTGATAACTTAGCTATAATGTGCCTCAGACATAACCTGTTTGGGTTGACTCTAATTGGAATTCTTTCTGTTTACTGGATGTGAATGTCCATCTCAAATTTCAAGACTTCACTACTATTTTATTATGTTTTCTACATCATTCTCCTTTCTCTTCTCCTTCTGGAATGACCATAATGTGTCTGTTCACTTCATGGTATACAATACATCCTGTAGGCTTTCTTCACCTTTTTTTCTTTTTTGTCTCCCTGTGTTATTTCAAAAGATCCTTCTTCAAGTTCAGAAATTCTTTCTTCTGCTTCGTTTAGTCTGTCAAGCTCTTGACTGTATTTTTTATTTAACTTATTGATTTCTTCAGCTCTGGGATTTCTGTTTGGCTCTTTTTTATGTTACCTATCTCTTTGTTGAATTTCTTATTCAAATCATGAATTGTTTTCCTGATTTTGCTGATTTGTGTTTTCTTGTATCTCACTGAGATTCCTTAAGATTATTTTGAATTCTTTCTCTGGGATTTAGTATATTTTCTTATGATTGGGGTCTGTTACTGGAGAATTGGTCTGTTACTGGAGGCATCATGTTACCTTGCTTTTTTATGTTTGATGTGTCCCCATGTTGATTTCTATACATCTGGTTGAAAAGTCCTTTCTTCCAATTTTATGGACTACATGTCACAGGGAAAGGCTTATTTGTATAAACCAGTCTTGGAGTGTCAGTTTGGTAGGGTGCATTAGCTTTGATGCATCTGTGTCTAGGTGGGCACTGTAGTGTAGTCTCTCTGTACTTTCCTCAGTTGTCAGTCACACTTGACGCCTGCAAGTATCTCAGTAGCCTAGGCTGGGAGAGTCTGTGGTAGCGGTGGTGCAGCTTTGTTGAGCGTGGGATCACAAGGGTGTTTCTCAGGTCAGGGATGTGGACATCCACATAGTGGGTTAGGCAGCTTGGAATCTCGCCAACTTAGGGTCTGGCTCTAAACTACAGGGCTGTACTCGTGTCAGGAGCACGAGCACATGTTTAGTCGGATGGCTTGGGGGTGTGCCTGCCAAGAGTAGCCCAAAGGGCTTTCTCAGGCCTAGGATACAGGTGCCTAGCTGCTCAGCTGAACTGGGGGTATGTTTGCCAGGCATGGACCGCAGGGCTGTTTTTGAGGATTGGGATGTAGTCTCAAGGCTTCTCTGCTGGCTTAGGTGTCTGTTGGCTTGGGGTGGCCCATGGGGGTGTTTCTCATGGTGAGGGTGCAGGCACATGGGTGTTTAGCTGGCCTTGAAGTATGGCTGCCATGGGCAGCCTATGCAGCTGCTTCTCAGGTCCAGGATGTAAGCATAAGGCTGCCTGGCTGGCCTGTGGAGATGTTTGCTAGAGGTAACCCATAGGGCTATTTCTTAGGCCTGGGACATAGGCACAGAGCTGCTCAGTTGGTCTGGAGTTGTGTATTCTGGGGGTTGCCCACAGAGCTATTCTTCAGGCCCTGATTTCAGGTGCAGGGCCATTGGGTAGGCCAAGGAAGTATCTTAGGGGTACACTGTGGGGCTCTTTCTTAGGTGCTGAGCACGGGTTATGTAGCTGCTCTGCTGGCCCTTAGGTGTATGAGCTACTTAAAGTCTTGGAGTTCTCTCCTGCTTGGGAGAGGGTGTGCAGTGGTTTGCCTAGCTCATCAAGGCAGAGTTCTGTGATGGAACCATGTCGATCTGCACATTTGCTTTTACCTGCCATTATGGGTAGGTGATAATACTATTTGGTCATGTAGCATGTATTTTATTCACAAGAAAATTTTTAAATAATAAAAATAAAAATGAAGTGCTAATCGAAATACCTAACCTATAAGTTCTTTGGTGCTTCCAAAGATTCTCTGAGCCAGAGACTAAACATGCAAATATTTTTCAAGCTTTAAAAGTTAATATTGCATGTTAGACTCCTAACAGATACTTGCTTCCCATTTTCAAACTGCATTCAATATCATTTGTTTTCCTGATGACTAGAACATGTAACTTTCTCATATAGATAGAACATAGGCAAAAGACAAGACAAATGCATGAAAAATACATATAATAGTTTAATCGGAAAGTACAGTCCAAAAATTTTAAACTTACTGTTCATGGAAATCCAGCATTGGTGGCTCAAATCGTATGGGTCTGCAATTCCCCCGGTAGAGAGATATACTGTAAATAAAAAGAAAACAACATAAGAAGCAGTTCTTCAAAATATGTTTCCCCAAACTCTATTTTGACACTTAACTTTTGTCATAACAAAGCATTTTTTGGTAAAAATAGGGTCTAATGATCTATTAGAAATGTACATTATTTTTTAAATTAGTGAAAACCAATGAAGATTGCATTTTAGAAAATAAAAAAGTGGGAGTATTTTTCTTATTCAAAGGTATGTGAAAACAAAATACTCAGGCAGACTACTGAAATTTATTTGGTTGATATAATTGGTAACAATATACTTTAATAGGGTCACTTGGATTTTCAGATACAGGTATGATGAGTAACAAAGAGTTAATACAGCTACATACATTTAGCAGACAATGTAGGAAGACAAAAATCACAATCACATTGTAACTAGAGTGGCAAAGGACTAAACAAAATTGAATTTAGGATAGAAATTTCCAAGAACTGAAATACCTATTTCATCTGAGAATTTGGAATACACTGATCTCTGATGTCCTGGCCTAAATATCTGAGTAGCATCTTCTAACTAACCCACCTGATACCAGAAATTCTCAATAAAACAGATTTCTAAATAGCAAACCTCAGACATCATCGGGGCCTAACACCGATATAAAACATACATGACTTTTGGTGGGGTGTGGGGGTGGTGGTGGCTCACATACATAAAGTGTTTACATACTGCGAAAGTCAGAAATTCAGTTAGCCATTAAGTTCCAAAATAGTTTAATGTTTTTATTCTAAGAAATGATGTCAGAGCAAAACCCATTTTGTAAGACTACTTTATTTCCATCATCACTGAACTTCACAGTAATATAAGCTTCTAAATGATACAGTAATTTCATTCAGGATTCAGGAGACAGAGGAAATATCTAGGAGTTTGGAGATATAGGAAATAATTAGAAATAGACAAAGACATTTACAATATGGAGGAAATTTGGCTTCAATTCTACAAAGATTAAATAATCTGAGTAGTAGAATAATTTAGCTGAAGGCAATAAAATCCAAAAATGTTTTTGGCTTTATCAATTTAGAATATTCTTTTGTGTTGCTTGAGAACCCCTCTGCATATGAACAGGAAAGATGACAAACAAAAAAAAGCAAGCAAGCACCAAATGTAAGATTATATTTTACTAAAGCACAAAACTGCAGACGCTGGGACATGAAGGCACAATTCCTTGCAACACAGTGTCAGCATCTATTCCTTCTTATTTTCTGCCCTTCTTAGATGTGATAGAACAATAATACTCTTTGGCTCCTTTAAAACAAGTGATGCTCTTCAGCTCATCAGTTTAAGTAGTACAAAACTCAAATGTACATAAAATCTCAAATCAAGGAAAAATAAAGTATAAGGCATAACTGTGTAAGTCATTAATTTCTATATGTATACACACAGACTATATTAGATGTTGGAGAAAAAGGAGATTAAAATACAGTGTTTTTCTCTCACAGAACCAAGAGGCTGTTCTGCAAATTGCAAATGGAAATGTCTCAAGTGGCCAAGTGGGGTAAAAAAACCACCCTATCCATTTAATACACATGTATGAACGTATACTATGTACCAGATACTGTCTATTGCCTGGGGCTACATTGGGGAACAAAGCAAAGTGCCTGCTCTCATGGCACTAACATCCTTATCCTAGTCGGGGGAACAAACATTGAATATATTAGGTGAAGATATGTGTATTAAAAAAAATCGAACCTACTGGGGCTGTGGATAGAACAGAAAAAGCCTCTCTGAGGAGGGACACTAGTGCCAAGACCTGAACGACAGAGATCTAGGGGAATAAAGTAGGAACGTATTTGGTGAGTTGAACAAGGAGGGTGAAGTGACCACCGTGCAATGAGGGAGGATTAGGAGCTAAGAGCTGAGCTCAGAGGTATAAGAGCCAGATCTCCTTGTAGAAGTATGGATTATTCTAAGTGTAACAAACTACAGTGTTTTTGAGCAAGGAGTGTTGAGGAACATTCAGTTTACCCTGCCCCCATGGCTCCCTTGTGGAGCATCCTTTCAGTTTGTAATTAGTGGTAGGCAGGTAACAGCTGCCTACTTGATGTATTTTTAAGTTATTTAGTACACCTGTGTATTAATGAGAATCACCTGTCAAAGAGCAAATAAATATGTGAACAAAAGTCTGCTCGGGGCATTCAGTCTGGAGAGTTGTCAGCCCCGCAGGCTGCGGGTCCCCAGGACAGATCCATTCTGACTATCTGGGTGTCTGTCTCTCAAATACCTTCAGCGCCACTGGGGCGGGAGTCTCCCTACTGAGCTGGTTCTCAGAAAGGAGTAGCATGATGTGACACATGTTAAAAGGTTAATTCTGGCTACTTTGTGAAGAACCAAGGAAGTTCCTGTAAGAGCCCAACAGTGGGAAGCAGGGGAGTCTTAGAGTGCTTTAGGCAACTGGTGATGGCAGCTACAATCTACGGCGGCTGCCAGGGAGAGTAGTGAGTAGTGGCTTTTTCTTGGATAGATTTGGAAACTTGAGAAAACAGGTTGTGCTGATAGATTGATTTCCGAAAAAGCAAGAGTAATTTATTCTAAGATTTTCATTAGATACACAGTCATGACATGGAAGAAGTGGGAAGA